TAAATTAGAACTGGTATTAATTAATAGAGTTATTTAAATATTTTTAACCGAGGTACCCATATGACCTTTTTGCTTGTCTTCAGTGGTATAAAATAAGTTGTCTTTTCTTCCAGAACCTTTTATTTATGCGTTATTGCACGGAATGAACACTATACTTAGAGGGTTTGTTCTAAATCATTTTGCTGTTCCCAAGAATGTATGAAAAATCATTGCTTTATACAAAGCTGACTCTAAAATATGATTTTCCGTAACAGTAACCAGTGTCATTTACGGAAGGTGTAAATAAAATTAGCAATGTACAATTTTTTTTTATTTTTTTTTATAAGCCTGACATACAATTGTCAAGTGAACCATGTTAGTTTCAGCTCATTCCTTGATTAATTAGATGTGACCTTTTATCACTAAACCCTATTCTTTTCATTTGCAAATTTTCTGTACTTTTTTTTTCATACGACAACGACAAAGAGTTTTATAAGTAAACCGATTTTTTGGTGTACCACGCTTATCACATTGTATATACAAATACATGCAAAAGGCCGGCTAAATAAGCTCCTCCCCCTGCTCCTAATTTTTTGGGTTGCCTTCGCCCCATGCCTCTGCACGACTCCCATTTAAATGGGAGCTCGAAGAAAGTACAGATTTCCTTAAGCATGGAAACAGTAAAATAGTTCAATTTTTCCTCCTTGACGTAGTCACACAAGTCATAAATGTCATAGACAATCGGATGCGTTAAGCCAATTTCTGTTACAACTGATTCGACGGTGGTCATGTGACTCTCTTCTTCCTCGTCAACTAATTTAATAGATTTATCGTCAACCGTGGTGCTCGGAGACGAACCTGCGCGTCTCCTTCTCGAGGAGGACAAACGGAAGAAAAATTCTTGTATTTGGGCTTTGTTCGGCACTCTTCGCGGGAAAATAGGCGCTCCCCGTTTCCCCCTCCGCTTTCCTCATATCTTGCGAGACTTGTCGCAGATCCTCTTTCCTTCAAGGTTGCTCACCAATTTCAAACTTGGAGGTCAGATACTGCCTTACTTTCTCTGATAAGCGAACAGCGCCATCTTTTGGCTTATGAAGTGCCCATCCTTCACTTAAGATTCGACTAGAAAGGTTCGCTACCCTGCCTGTCGATAACATTGGTACTGTCTTCTCGATCTTCTGAAAGGGTAAGGGATGAGAATTTTTCAACCCAGCTTAAATCTAGAGATTTCAAAGCTGTTCTAATGTCAAAAATAAAGGAATGACCCATGAATGCCAGTGCTCAGTGGAAGGATAATTACACCATCAAGCAGCGAACCAATGGCCCTTGTAGCTGTCTATAATGGAGAGATTGTACGTTGGTTATGAAAATTACACTTTTTTCTCTTTTGCTTTGACTTTGTGACGTGGTTTTGTCACAATTTGAACAGACACGCGTCACTCTTACGTAACGTTTTAACGGGAAACTAAACAGCATCATTTTATTTCCAAGTAGGTATATATTCAGTCGTTCTTAGCCACCATTTTGCCAGATCAAAGTATATGTATATATTAAGAGTGGTCTAAACAAAAAAGCAGTTTACTTGTAAAAACCATTGTGTTTTTTATATCTTTACATACTTATAAAAAATTGTAGAGGGTAAATGAAAATGAAAAAGAAAATTTGTCCTGCATAGCAGTCTTTCAAGTTTCCTTTTAGCCGACAAGGAATCGTGCAGAGGCATGGAGTGAAGGCAACCTAAAAAATTAGGAGCAGGAGGAGGCCGAGTTTATTTAGCCGGCCTTTTGCATGTATTTGTATATACAATGTAATAAGCGTGGTACACCAAAAAATCGGTTTACTTATAAAACTCTTTGTCGTTGTCGTATGAAAAAAAAAAAAAGAACAGGAAAATTGCAAATGAAAAGAATAGGGTTTAGTGATAAAAGGTCACATCTAATTAATCAAGGAATGAGCTGAAACTAACATAGTTCACTTGACAATTGAATGTCAAATTTTGCCTCTTGAATTGAACGTGAAGTTCATTTGAATGCTTTCGTATGTATTTCTGACGGTTTTAGATCTACCTGTTCGATTTATATCTGCTACGCTTCATGTTGACAAGTCCCTCAAAATGGCGGCAAAACTTGGAGATTGCCGAAAATTAGGTAAGTTCACGGAGTTATAAAGTTTTAGTAAAGGTCGGGCCGCAAAGTTTTTTTCTGTAGTTACCTTTTCTATGGCACCTACTTTCTAGCTATATTAGTTGGATCAGTTAAGAACGCCTCACTTTTTCAAAAATGTACCTTGAATTTGATCGGTTTTCGCGTGTGTGACTTAAGCGAATCGATAAGGTGTCGCTCAAGTCTTCCTGTTTGCTTGATTGAAACGTGATGTTCACGAAAGTCGCCTCGATGGATAAGATAGAGTTAATATACATGGCTGTGTTATTTGTTTTTTGCTGAGTTCCGTAGTTTGTTGTAAACTGTCCGCCAAAGTTGCCTCAAATTAACGTCTTGAAAAGTGTCATGACAGGCATTCGCTCGATGGAAATTTAGTTTCCTTAAATCTCTGAAAAATAAAGAGATCCGATGAAACGGATTGTGGTTTTAGTATAGGTACATGAATGTCTTACAACACACAAGAAATGAGCTAAATCTGTGTCTCAAGCAAAATCGACCGGACCGCTCTTACAGAGACACTCTTTTAATGAGTCAAATGAGTCAATGAGTCATAAGTCATGAGTCAATGAGTCAGATCTGAAATAATAACAGTTTCGGTAGAAACAATAAAATTAAGCATTACTTTTACTTATTTTGTCTACTTCCTTCATTGCTGCCTGCACAAGGCCTATTTCTGACATGAAATCTCGACCTCGACCTGGGCTGTTTGTTAGCAGTTCCTAGGCCCTGCCGCATAGCAGAAGCGGAAAATAAGCCATCCTATAAATTTTGTGGGTGCTTCGTGTTTAATTCCCTTTGAACACAGCGCTTAAAGTAAATTGCGATAAACCTATTATGGAATTTCTTAGCGGTCAAAGACTCAAATCTGGGAACAGTCGTTCTTTGATATTCGGTGTGGGCTCGGTTTGAAGTAGAAAATCGGTCATGAGTGCGACGGAAAGGTCCACTTTCATAATATTATCTGTATCGGTATGTTACTTATTAGCTTGCATGCTAATAAGCATGCATGCTTTTGTAAAGGTAAGTATTCCCGGAACTATTCATTAGGTTTTAGCGAGGAATCTTGTCAAGAGGAATACAATTTTCTTTCATGCTGTGGATCGCTGTCGATCATGGACAGCGAGTCGAACATTTGTATACAGTCAGTGTTTATATTAGAAACATACAATATGCGAATAATTATTGTTGAGGTATTACTGTCTACCCATTGTAATTTTAAATGGCTTTCAAGGGTGGTTGATTGATTAAAATCTTTGGGCATTCAATTTGTTTGCATTATGTTTGTGTTTATTTACATTAGTTCGCCTGTTTAAAACTCGTGCATCAACTAATATGAACAACCTCGGGGCAGCACTTCACTTCTGGTATGGAAACTCTAGTAGTATGGATTGTCTGATGGTTTTCAGTGGTTCTTAAAGGGTGTCTGGGAAGGCTATTTTTCGGGGCATGCACGTAACAGTAGCGGCAGGGCCTGGGATCCCGTGTGAGAAGCCTCCATGGAATTCCATGGAATTCCGTGGATTTCCATGGAAAATTCTCCATGGAATTCCATGGAGGATTAAGACATCAATTTCATGGAATTCCATGGAAATTTCTCCATAGATTTCCATGGAAAATATTTGCATGGAGGATTAGGACATTTGCCATGGAATTCCATGGAAAACATCAGGGCACCAATTTCCATAAAAAAAACCTCTAATATTCCTTGTGTAGGTTCGCCGAAATACTCCAAGCAAAAAAATCTCATCAATCAGGTTGGACTCGAGTAAAAAAAAAAAAGTCTTAGCTCTCAACCAAAGACACTTTGATACCGAGAAGAGTTACGTGCCTTAAAGTGGGATCATTTTTTACTGGCTATTTAAGTACGGGACCCGTACATCGTCTTGTATTTGCTATTCATACGGGATTCTGACTAAACTGATTAGGGCTATTAAAGCACTGACTCGAAACGGTTAGCTTCTAATTAGGGTTACGGTTGTTGTTATATGAATAAAATCAAACTCCACCTAGCAGCGAGTTACTACTCCGTGGTTAGGCTACGAACTATGGATTTTACGCCCCGGGATCGGTTATCAATCTTGCCACATCGAATTTTTCTTCTTTTCAAAATTTGCAACTGAAATTGTTTCCTTAAAGATGGAACAGTGGTTGAAGAGACTTACACTTTCATGGAAATTTGTTGATCAGAAATTTCAAGAGACTTAGAAATTTCATATAAATTTGAAGTAGAGACTTGATCCCGCCATAGCAAATACACGTCTGTGTACGGGTCCTGTACGAATAGCCACCATGTCAATATAATGAAGCAACTGCATGTTGTTAATAACAGTGATCTTCTAATATATTTAAATGCCCCACTGATTTTAAAAGATAAATGGCAGACAGCCCTACTATAACTAAAGTTTCTATATTTATTTATTTAACAGGATCATTTTTTTATTAAGCACACAAAATATTCCTCTTTATAGTTAGCAAAAAAAATTCTTACACTGGGACTTTCAGCATCAGTGAACAATACTTTTGCATTGTCTGTGTCACTAATTTAAACTAAACGCACTCAATTTTGCTTCCAAATGTTTCCTATTTTTCTATCCAATAAAAAGTGCAGACTTGAACATGTGGTTAACAAGTTGATGAGTTGCTTGATTACTGAATTTCTATACACGACTTTCATAATGGCCGACGGCGCACCGGACTGGGATTGATTTCAGCATGGAAACGAGGCCAGTGAGGCCACGCTTGGTTTGAGTTGTAAACAAATCAAAGGGTCAAAGTGTTTTGATCGCTTTATTCAGGCACAATATCTGTTCAATTTAGTTCAATTACTGACCGCGAAACCGTATAATTATCAAGAACGAAATGCCAACTCACTGCTGTGTGCCAGAATGCACAAAGAAAGGCTGCCGTGATGAAAATGGAAACAAAATATCGTTCTTTAAATTTCCGATCGATGACCCTCAGTTGAAGAGGAGATGGCTACACGCTATAAGAAGAGATGAAGGGAAATACTTCAAAGTGACTGAGGCTACAAAAGTATGCTCCAGACACTTCAGGCCAGGTGAGATTAAGAAAACCCTCGCCGGTAAAAATGAACTGAGAGCCGGAGTTGTGCCTTCCGTGTTCGCATGGATTAGAACATCACCACGCAAGAGAAAGGATCCGATTGCACGAAACTTCGAAATACCTCCAAGTAAAGCAGCCCGTAAATTAAATGTTTCATCCGTAGATTTAACGGATGACGTTCCGGTTAACTCTGCAAACGACTCAGTTGAATTCGCCGAGAGCGCCGATGGAAGCACGTCATTTTCTTGCAGTGTGAGAGATGCGGAGATGCAAACAGAACCGGAAATTGGAAGTGAGACAGAACTTAGACAGCAAGTATTGGAACAAAAATCTCAGTTGGAAATTGCCTTTCGACGTATTGAGGCGCTTCAAAAACAATTATTTTCGGTAGACAGATTTAAAGAAGATGACTCTTCAATGAGATTTTACACTGGTTTCCCAAATTGGAGCACATTTTTGGCTGTCTTTAATTATTTGAATCCAGGAGATGAAGGGGAAAACATAGCCTACTGGCTTTCTCAGTCAAACGTTTCTGTTCCAGCGGAATTCTATGACGAATCAGAGGGAGAACCGTCAAGAAAACTGGGCAGACCAAGAAACTTGAGGCCAATTGATGAATATTTTGCTGTTATGTGCAGACTCAGACAAGGCCTACCGGAAGAACATCTTGCAAATCTTTTTAACGTTTCAGTGTCTACAGTAAGTNATTGCCAGCTAGCTGACTAACCGTGACAAATTATTTGTTGATACAATTTACAATAATTTGCTTTTCACTATCTCTTCCAAGATAGCTTTTGGATAGCATATTAAATGGCTTTATGGACAATGGATAGATTTAAGATAGGCTATCCTTTTACTATCTACCACTAAGTTAGTACTAAGATAGTAGAGAGTTTAACTTTACAAAATGAGAATAGAAATCAGATAGCCTAGCTTTTAACTAACTCCAGTGAAGATAGTTTTCAGATAGCTGAGATAGTAGTTGGTTAGGCTATTTTGTTGCTATCTACATAGGTAGTTAGTTTTAAGATACTCTATCTATCTCCTAACTACCTGGCAGATATATAATAGTTAGCACAAAACTAGGACAGAGATATCTATGCACTATCCGCTCAAACTCTAAAATAGCAAAAAGATAGCGAGTTTTGTTGAGGAACTAGATTTTAGATAGTTGAAACTAGTTTTAAGATAGCAATAAACTAGCAATAAGATATGATCATTTTTGTAAGGGAATAAACAAACCAGCCATGAATAACAGAAGACTCTTGATGGCAGCTGTATTTCATTTTGCACATCCAGTATCAAAAACATCACAAGTTGACAAAAAACTCTGTCAGCTTCAGCTGTCAAAGTAAACAAGTTAATTTCAAGATGCTGCATATTAAAATTTTCCGGATGAACTCAGCTGTCAAATATATTTTGACTAATCAGAGCATAAAAATTGGACGTAGAGCGTGACCAACGCGTGACCATGGTAAGAAAAGGTCTTCCCCGCCTGTATTTTTAAATAACTGGCTGAATTTTCGAGTCCGAGGTCAGTTTGAAATCAGAATCTTAAATAGTGCAGGGCCAAAGTGACATAAACACAACATATTTCATTGATTCACCCGGAATCGTCGTTAGGTAATTGAGCCGCGTTAAATTCCCCTTCCTTAAGTACCACATCATGCAGAGACTATTTGATTATTTGCACTTTTTTTTAGTATTGCTTTTTTACCGCCATGAGCAATCAAGTTGCAAAGTGTCTACGCCTTAAATTAAAATCCATTCACGTAAGCTCTACGTAAAATAAAAACCACGTACCCCTGTTAAATTTATATCGTGTGTGTGTGGGGGGGTCTGTGAATAGAAAAAAAAAAGGTGTTTCCTATTGTCTGGATATCAAGTGCTTTTATCCTTTTGTTTAAGTGTTTAAGCTTCACAAAAAAGGATAATTCATTTGTACAATTTATCTTGTTCAAAAGGGAATCATCCAAGCTAAACGATAACTGAAGGTTTGGATGGAAGTTGTGTTCTCAAAAGTAATTTGGAGTTAGATGAAAGCTATCATTAATTCTTTAATATTATCATATAGGAAAAACTAAATAACAAAATTAATATTTGTATAACTTCAAGGTCTATCTCTGTCGACAGAGTTTTGCACAAAATTACCTTAAGCCACAGGCTGCCCAGTGAGCCGACGGCCCTCTATCCTGTTTGGTACGAGTTCAGGTTTGGAACTTAATATTAAGTTTCAGCTTTATGTGGAACTGATTTCTCGGATCTCAGACAGTACTAGTTTTATTCATTTATGAAAGTTAAACAGAATTAGTATAGATAGTTTGCGTGCAGTGCCTGTTGTATTTGTCAGTTTGCACTTTAACGTAACAGAGAAAATGACCTGCAACTTGAGTATCTCGTCAAAATGACCAACCAGACAACCCTTAACTCCAAGCTCATTACCAGTTTCTGCACGAATAACGTAAAACGCCCTCAATAACATAAATTGCAAGCCGGGTATTTTTCGCTGGGTCTTCATTTTAAACTTACAGAGAGAAGCAGCTAGATTCATAATCGGAAACAAACTAAAAATTGAGACATATAGTTTTTATTCATCCATCATTTTAACAATGCTACAAACTAATTAACTGTAGGATTGCAGCGACAGCTTAAGGGCACTTTCAATAATGTCGATATGTCAACTTGTACAGTAAGTGTTTTTCAGTTCTAAGCTATTGGAAAAGCGTGTCTGAACTATTAGGCTAGGGAGCTGGCTGACTAAACACGGAACTTATAAATACATGTGGAAATTAAAACTACTTTATTGAAGCTAGAGGGCAGCATGTAAGAATTTGTTTAAATGCTAACGGATTTGAATTAAGAAGGCACTTGAAATTCGGATTTTAAGATTTTTTCAAGACTAGCGGATTTTGGCGAATTGGCCAGAAACGGAAAGCGCGGATCACTTATTTTATCTGTCACTATTTAAAATTGAATGTTGAGCTGACGTTTTTCTAGCCTTCCAGACATTTTAATCTTCAGGACTGATCAACTGGAGGACTCCTCGGGGCGGAGAGCTCAAAAGAACAACCGAGTTAGTGAAGTTTTTTAAGGATTTAAGCCCGAAATTTAAGTTACATTTTGTGTGTTTTTTATAGTAGAGGAGATTATGTTTTTTAGTTAAATATCTGGTTATTCAAGCAAATGTTTTAGAACACGCGCTCAGATAGTCAGACTCGAGACAGCTCTATTGTTGTAGTAAGCTTTTGGTCTAATTTTAGTTGAGTGGAGTACGGACACCTGACGCTGGAATTGTAGTGCGAAATTCATAAGAGTACAGAATATTTGGTTTTTCAAATAAATTTTTCAAAAAATGACTTCTCTGCTGATAATTTTGTTTATGTTTATTCATAACACAGTAGTTCAAAGCAGGATCTTAAGACAATATGTACAGCAACGAATAAATTGCTCACGCATTGCTTCAGCGCCGACTGTGAGTGTCGGAGAATTTTTGCAGTTTTGCCGGGCTTTCAACTCGATTTCCCCGGGACAATTTTCGATACAGAGCTAAATTAATTTCTTTTAACAAATAGTGTTACCAGTTATTCTAAAGTGAAATACAGTCTTTTTTATTTCTACTTCAAGTTTTCTTCCTAAATTGTCACACAATTATCGTATTTTGCGACGCACAGTTTTGAGTTAGTGTTTCTTGCTGCAGCTATATTAATAGTTTTGCCTCATAGTACTTACCGTAATAGGGTGATTTTACTTGACACGTGAAATAGTTACAATGTAGTAGAATTCTGCGCACTATTATGCACTAATTCCATTGTATTCTTTTGTTTACCTCTATGTTATTTGGCACTTATTTTGTTAGTATCCTTTGCACGGTTTAAGTAAAATCACTCTTCAGTGAAATGGAAACTCGATATAACGAAGGGCCAAGGGCCTGGCAAAACTTGTTCGCTATCGCAAAATTTCATACCGCGCGGCGGTCTGACACTACCGGATTTTTCCGGACTTTTTAAAAAGTCTTGTTTCAAAATGGCGGATAGTCAGAGTGAAAACTTGAACGAAAGCATTCTTTTTCGAAGAAATATTGATCAATTTTCCCTCGGAGAATCTACATAAACTTACATGTAGTAAGGAAAGGATGCAGTATTTCTGCAATGCCCCGAAGCTAAACTTAAAGGGCCGACACTCAGCAAGTGTCTACGCAATTGTTCGACGTAAAGGTTGCTCGAACCAAAGATGATTGTACTATAACACTATAAATTTTCGACAGCAAAGGATCCTCTACCCGCATCTGTAAAGTCAGAAGTTCATTGCAGGCAAGACCCCAGATGTGACTGTGTACGTACCGATCGTAACTTCAGTATGCTGGAGCAGAATTTAAAAGGGTAGTACTGGAGGGCTTACCTGGATAATTCCCGTCGAGGAAAAGAGTGATGACCGTGAAAGGTACTGAGTGTAGTGAACTTTGTGGCGTTATGTATGTTAAATAACATGCAGGGAGAA